CTCAAAAGGGAGATGCTTCCACTATTGAAGCAAGCCACTCGGCATCGATTGATGCCATACGTCGGCATGGCCGATTTTTCATTTCTCGAGGAAAGACGCACAACTTAAATTGTTTGCTTCCACAAGACTGCATGTTGGGCGGACTTCTTTAGGCCGAAGACATACCAAATCGTGCACATTGCACCGATGCCGCTCTTGTAGTTCTGTTCGACTCAGGTTTCCTTGGTCTGCGGCATACCTTTACGCCCGAGCGCTTCGAAGATCGGCTCGCAATACGGGCGTGAACGGGGGCCTTGAAGGATTCATTCAGGGATCTTACCGTTCCCGCGAGAACGGCTGAACGGTCAGGAAAGGCAAGTCTCCTTCTTGGCACGGAAGCGCCTTCAAGCCTTGACGACGATAGGGCTAGAACCGTCGCTTCGCAGCTTTCTGGTCTCGGATGCGCTAATGCTGTAAAACTGAGTCGTAGCGTGTCGAGGTGATGTTAGCTCCTGATTGCTTGTGTTCGACCAAGGACCTGAGACGACATCCTGCGGCTGGTTGTAACCCTCCACTTTCTGAGTGTGGGTGTCTGCCTTGAGCTGCATGATGACGGAAGCGAGCGCGTGTCATAACTGCACACGTTGCTTTAGGAAATCTCAAAGGCCGAGACCTTCTATTGCCATTCTGCCACGAGGTCTGACCTCCGTGTGCGGAAGCACTGCGCTGGCGACACCGTCCGTGTGCAAGGCGACCAATGATTATCGGTGAACAAGGTACTGGATAATAACGGGCGCTTGGGTATACAGGAACTCTCTAAGCGAGCATGCTCGATTGTGCGCAACGCGCGACAAATGCGGCATTGGTTTTGTTGTCCACGTTGGGATATGGAAATGATGTTCGGTAGATTCAGCGAGAAATGGCAAGAGTAGCAGTAGGCTTTCCCACCACGCTGGTCGTTCCTTACTACCGGTTACGCCCTGTTGCCGGTGAGCTTGATACTGTGCGAGATGGCCGCATACACGGACGTATACAGAGTGCCCCTCACCAAGTTTCGGTGTGCTAGATGAACGGCAGTTATCACTGTCTTTTGCTCTTGTGCTACCGCATCGCACGGCCAAAAGAGTCGCGGTGGGTACACAGAGAGGGGTTCATGCGTTGCATGGTTGCTGGACCAATGACGGTGTTTCAGATGCTTGATTGTGTGCGTCGTAGGGCTGTAGGGCTGCGATAGAGGGTGAATGAGTTACTGTGATCGGAAAGTGGCTCGACTTGGCACGGCGGCCGCTAAATATAGGCCGTTTTCTCCTGTGACGAATTAGCGCGCTTGTCGCTTGCGTGCTGCACAAATGCATCTTGCTTTTCGCGATAAATATGGAAGGAACAACATTAGCACAGTGGCTATCCTTTGAGAATCGTCATCTAGCGACACCAAGGTAGCGAAATAGCATTGAGAGTGTGTCTGGCGGTTGACCGGTTAGTGTGTTTTGGTATCGAGGAATACGCTCATGTATGCGATGCTGTACTCGCTGTGTGATTAACTCATCCTATACCTCTCCTGGATATACACCCGGCCAAGGACAGCAATGTACCAAGGTATGCTGATAGTTAACCCGACACTGCGGCTCCAGATGAAATCACATGACCTTTCGCGGCATCCACATCTCTCAGGCAGTTATTGCGCACAGCGGTGAGATTTGCACGGAACGCCCGATAGAACGGTCGCGTAATGCCCCAAAGAGGAAGTTGATTTGTGCTAGTAGTTGTTTGACCACTCACAGCTCGAGATAAGAACCGGTAGCAGGGGTCCCGAACGCCGCTAGCCGTCTGGGGGCACACGTGGGTCTATCCGCCTTACAGACTCACCGTCGGAACGACTTCGATTTCTGTGTCGCTTCCACACGACTTGAACATTCGTGTAGGGAATATACGTTTCAGCTATCGCGGACCGATCATGGACTTGGCTATGCACTGCGCGGTTTAGGTGCTGTCGGACATCCCTACGGTGTGCCATCTGTCACCGTAGCATGGTAGTGTCCCAAACGGTGTGGAACATTTCAGTTTGTGCGCTATCACGACAAGCCAACTCGGTGCATAGGGTCAAAAGAAGACACCTACGTAATGCCTGCCAAGCTGGGGTTCCTGACGCCTGCTGGTGCGCAGAGCACCGATTCGCGTTTGATCAACTCCGCCATCGGGGCGTAACTCAGCCATGCTAGACGAGAGAATATTTCGAAGTAGGCGTGTGACTGTGCCTACTACAGCGGCATAATGATTCAATTGCTTCGAGACTGTTCCTTGGCTGTCACTCTATCTTACTTGAAGCGACGAGTGAGTGAACACGATCTATTGGGATGCTGATCGACATTGGCAAGCGCATGCGGGAAGGAAGAGTCTCCCGGTGCCACGACCTTGGGAGTATACAATGTCAGGAAAGCTTGTCTAGTCTGGCTATCAGAGCAGACGGACGACTCCAGCGGCCCACGATACCGTTAGCCTGTCTTCTGGGTTCGAGTTGCTGACGCGGCGTCGGGGTAAAAGGTACATTCTGCATATATCCGACACATTTGCCCTGAAAAGCCGAAACAGTCCCCTTGTAGGTTCGTTGAGACATTCCCAATGAGAGAGTCGAATGAGCAATGCCAGTGCCTCCTGGGCCAAGTCGTAGAGTGACAACAGTTGCAGCACTGTCTCCAAACACGTTCCCTGTCGATATCTGAACGCTGCTAGACGGCTTTTACAGCTGAAGGTCTGATAGCGAAGTGGGGAGTGTCTCTCAAGCGCGGGGATATGGGCTCCAATGTTTGAGGCGAGTCGCTCTAGACAAGCTCAAAGCCCCACACATAGCGGAACTAACATCGAACCGAGGAGTCCTACGAGAGCAGCTGAGTCGCGATGGTCCATAGCTGAGGTCGAGGTCGCAACACGTGTAGTATGTTGATATGCCCTTTTCCCCCTTTTGATGGATAGCGCAAGCGAGCCACCGTGATCTACGTTGAGCCAACGCGGGTGTCTCAGTCGTGTTCTCCGAATTTGAGTCAATTCGATGCTCCTATGGTTGTAAATCGGCCCCCGCAATCTCCATGCTCTGTGCAGCGGTAGGGCTACCGACAGCACCAAGCCGTATAGCGCGCGCGCGGGCTGCCCCTAGTGAGGGCTGAAGATAGTTGATGTTTGCCCATCACATACCAAGGATCAACGGGACGATGTACCTTTACCTCTGAGCGGAGAATGAGGCACCACGATTTGAAATGGCTAGTGATATCCTTACAGTCGCCATATCAATCGAAAACACGGCGCCTGCAGCAGGCTCCTGTGATACATACATAGACGATAGAATAACAGAGTATACCGCATGATAGCGCTATGTAGTACCAGGCAATCATCCAAGACTCCTCGACGACCAGTATAGCAAATTCACTAGGAGAAGCAGTCTTGAAACGGCACCTCAGTTGTATGAAGATATTCTTGGATGTCTTGCACTGGCGGCTCAGTGAAGGCGCAGCTGCGGAAGGCGCGAAGCCTTCAAGCCTCGACCGCCGGGCGTAGGGCGTACCGTTGGAAATAACGGCAACAAGACGCTAACAGCGCATTTTACCAGCAACAGACGGGTTCAAGGTGTGTCTGGCAGTGTCTGTAGATGATGGAATTCCAATGGTGATTGGCTTTTCCTTACGTCGTTGGTGGAAACCACGCATAGCTAAGCTTTGGGCTGACTGCCACTTTGCGCACTTGGGCCCAGAACTCACCGACACCGCAGTAAGGTGCTGATGCGGCTGCGGAAGAATATGGGACAGTGCGTAGGGCTGGTGGGATACTATGCTGTTTCCAAGTAGACGTCTGGGGCTCAACGAGTGGTGGCGCTCTCGCAGCAGGGTACTTTACTTAGGTACCGCGTTACAAAGCAGACTAAGAGGATGGAACGGCTGGGCTGCTGCCCTTGTGCTAGCTGGATGCAGGATATGGTCCTGATACAGCAGGCTTCCTGATTCCTACGAGGGACTGCGGAGAGTCGGTGTCAAGCAGCAGCAGCTGTCGGAGCTGTCGGAATGCTAGGGAACAGCGACGACTCGCGGTGTGCCAGGCCGTCGAGAGGTTGCGCATGCACAACGGCGCAGCGGGGAGCAGCCAATGGCGGCAGGCGCTGAACGGGTGTGATGATCTGGTGTGAGCCGGTCAAGGCGCAATTTACCCACGACAGCGCGACGTTTGCGTTTGTTTGCAGAGGGTTTCGCACTTGTCTGCTCGCTCTCGGTTTTGGCCCCCATGCTATGTGCGGGCGGGCATGCGGCGCAGTGGAGGGGACGGCCTGGCATGGGCGCGACTCTCAACGGACCAAGCTTGTGCTCGCGGGGGCCTTCGGACGAGAGCCGACGCGTGATGATAGCGACTCCTCGCAAGACGTCGACGCATGCGGGAGAGCATACGCACGCCGCACGCAGGGACGGAGATAATGACAGACCCGGCGCCGCGTGAGGTTCAGTGACGGGGCACCGACAGGCCCCGGGGTCATAGGGCTGTCTGTGATGTGCAATGCGCCAGCAGCCAGGGTAGCAGGGTTGGTGGGGACGCGACAGGGAACTGTAAAGAGGACATGGGATCAAGACACCGCTCCCCAGTAGAGAGTTTTCGTTTCGATACACTGCCAGCCCGACGCTTCCGTGCCCTCAGCTGCCAGCCTGCCCGTCCCTCACTGGCCCGCTGCCAGTCTGCGCTAGCGCCCATACTAAATTTACAAGACCGCAGTCGGTGAAAGTACACCGGCTAGGGTTGCTCCAAATCGTACCAAATTGAGAAATGCTCGAGCCCGCATCGCGTAGCCCAGGGTGCATGCGAGGGCCTGAAGCTGGGGACCAACACTAGCCAGTCTGTGCTCCACAAGAACGACTGCGGACGTAGACAAGACGGCGAGATAAATATACAGTCCTCCCCGAGTGCTAGAGCCTCTCATCATCCCACTGACAACCAGACATCCCGCTCCACAGTCATCCTTCTTCCATTCCTCATCCCTTCCTGTGTAAATGTCTCCCACATCTACCATCACCATGCACAGACACGCTGCCTACCCATATGCCAACCCGGCTCCCACCACCACAAGATACTCGGGCACCTCCTCAGCCTTCTCTGCTTCAGCAAACCCCAACGAAGACTGGACCAAGATTTCAGATCTTGCTGAGCGCAGGCGGATACAGAACCGCATTGCCCAACGCAACTACCGCAAGAAGCTCAAGAAGAGGCTCGAAGACTTGGTGAGTTCTTGTGCTACCACGCCTCGTACCGCTCGGAACAGCATACTAATCGGGTTGCAGGAGCGTCGTGCTGCCTCGAGCTCAGCTTCACCTGAGCAGAAGCCTGCTGAGCTGCAGCCACCACAGCGATCCCCGCACCAGGAGTTTCCTTCTCCGTCATCTTCGGAATCCTCGTACACTACCCCACCTGCTGAGGATCGCATGTTCTCGCATCAGTACACACGCCAGCTTTCCACCAGCCCACCACCTCCCTTCTCCGTAGCGTCGTATTCGTCGGCATACCCAGCACCAGATGCAGTTGCATACTCAATGCCGTACTCCACCTCGCCCTACCACACAATACCAACCACCCTCACACCGGAGATGCCGAGCTACACTTACCTGCCACCGCCTCACTCGTCCTCGTACTCGACTGGCCTACCAAGCCTTGTGCCGAGCATGAAGAACGAGTACTACGCCGACGAAGATACGAGTCCCTTTGGCGTGGGCTACGCGGCCATTTGCGGGAACGACATCCTACCACCACACTCTTACGCAGACTCTGTAAGGATCCCTACTCGCCAGCCCTACTATGCATGAACGCCCGACTCTTGCACTCGCTGCTGCTGCTTGGACGAGCAACCGCTGACGGCCGCCGGTAGACGACACTACCTTTCGACTTACCAACGACGCCACGGACACTTCCGTTGCATGCGCTCTCCACCATGTGAAGAAGCGACGGTTGCGAAGGCGCTTTGACTACTCTTCTTTGCGAGACACTGTCTCTCTCTTCTGTGTTTATAGTTTTTGTTTTGCATTTCAGCGATCGGTCGTTTTCATTTGTAGCAAAGGTCCCTCGCTTGACCACGGGAACTTGGTGTTTGGCGTTGCTCATCTCTTAACTGAGATTGTTTTGTCATGACTGGGGACGAAGCTTGCCATGATACGTAGCCCCAGTGCCAGTGCGAGCCTGTGTTAGGCTCGTACAGCAATGAATATTGTTATCTACTCGAATATCCTTGACTTTTTGGTGATTGAGAGGTGATGCGATGTATTGAGGGATGTGCATGAAATGTGCAGTGATGGTAATGTGCAAGTCGTGACCGCGCGACGAAAGCGCCTTGGGCGGTGAGATCATAGCTCTTTCCGCGCGTGCTCCGCCAAGCCCGTCGCGACGCGTCGTGCCTTCCAGACCCGCGTGGGCAACGTCAGCGACAAAACCCGATTGCGACCACAACCACGACTCCGACATGGCTCCCATCAAGCGCTCGCGCGTCGACAAGGCACGACAATACCTCGCTGGCGGCGCAGTGTTCCGTGAAGACTCGGACGACGAGCTTGGTTACGAAGACCACCCCTGGGAATGGATCTACGATGAGGATGCCATCGACGATGCGCAGCCAGAGAAGAATGCCTCGCCAAGAAAGAGAAAGGCTGCGCCCACGGCGCCAGGAAAACGCATCGTCGGTGCGCGCATGGGCAGCTTCAAGTGCAGAGTGGGAGATGCCGTGCTCCTCAAGGCAGAGGGCAACCAGGCATGGGTGGGCATCATCTGCGACTTCCACGAGGACCCGGACGAAGACGAGAAAATGGCCAAGTTCCTGTGGTTCTCCTCCGAAAAGGAGATCCGCAACCAGAGCAAAAAGCGTTCCGACTTTCTTCCCGTAAGTCGCTCGGCCGTGCTCCAGAGTTATGCACACTGACCTTCGACAGAACGAACTTTACATATCCGCCGCCTTCGACGACAACCCCTTAGCCTCGATCAACGGCACTGCCAAGGTATTCTCCCTGGATCGATTTCAGGAGTTGTATCCGACAGGCGTCAAGAAGAACTCGAAAGACTACGGCAAGGTCTTCGTCTGCCGGCGGGGCTGCAATACGCGCACGACCACATACACACCAGAATTCAAATGGGAAGACGTCTACAAAGATGCCAAGGACATCCCAACAGTAGTCGATCTTGTGGAGACCCAGACCAAAGCCACTAGGAGAACTGCCGGTCGTCCTAAGAAGCAACAGCAGCAGCCCGACTTGGACCAGTTCGTGATCCCTGACTCGGACGATGATGACTTACCAAAGACTCCACGGAAGCGCCGGAAAATTAATGAAGCGACCACCCCCACATCGACCAGGAAGAGCCCGGCTGCTAGGAAGTTCCTTACTCCAACACACAAGAGGATAGTCATCAAGAAGCAGTTGGAGTTCACACCGCTTGGCACACGCGTGCTCGACCCTTCGGCCCTAAACTCACCATTCCAGATCGCGCGGAACCAACTCCATGTCTCCTCGGTACCTGCCGCTCTCCCCTGTCGAGAGGAGGAGTTCTCTACCGTCTATAGCCATTTGGACGCGGCCATCACGGACGGCTCGGGCTCCTGCATCTACATCTCGGGCACGCCTGGTACAGGGAAGACCGCAACTGTGCGCGAGGTCGTTGCCCAACTTCAAGCCTCAGTTCAAGCCGAAGAGTTGGACGATTTTATATTTGTTGAGATTAATGGCATGAAGGTCACAGACCCCCACCAATCATACTCGCTGCTATGGCAGGCATTGCGCGGCGATCGGGTGAGCCCGTCACATGCACTCGAGTTGTTAGAACGGGAGTTCTCCACCCCTAGTCCGCGGCGGGTACCTTGCGTGGTCCTGATGGACGAGCTCGACCAACTCGTTACTAAGAATCAGTCCGTCATGTACAACTTCTTCAACTGGCCCGGCTTGCGGCACAGCAGGTTAATCGTCCTCGCCGTAGCGAACACCATGGACCTGCCCGAACGAACGTTGAGCAATAAGATCAGCAGTCGCCTAGGTATGTCCCAGCTAGCATAGCGATCCTTCAGGAACGCCCCACGCGTTTGGCAGACTTCGATCTCCATCATCAAAACGCTTCAATATCAAACGGGGACGCCGATGCTTTCGAACGATCTGCGTATCAATTTGATGGTATCGGTGCGACTTATATCGCCTGGTATGGCCGTTATTTGACAGGCAGGGGCTAACACGCATATTCTAGGCTTAACACGCATTACCTTCCCAGGCTATACACATGACCAGTTAATGCAAATTATCCAATCCCGACTTGAAGGTGTACCCGGCAACATTGTACACCCTGACGCCGTTCAGTTTGCTGCACGCAAAGTGGCAGCTGTTAGCGGCGATGCGCGACGCGCGTTAGACATTTGCAGACGCGCCGTAGAAATCGCCGAAACGGAAACGATATCGCAGGACCGGGACGATGAGGCGCAGCCAGCCACCCCGAGTAGGACCGGTCGGGGTAACAAAGGAAATCTGCCTCAAAATTCTCGGTCAATTAAAGGTACCGGAGATCCGGATAGTCGGTCAAAAGATCGGGCGGGGCGGAAAGGCATAGTTACTATGGCGACGATCAAACAGGCAATCAATGAGGCCACGAGTAGTCCCCTGCAGCAAGCACTACGGGCTCTACCGTTGGCGTCCAAGGTATTCCTTGCGGCACTCTTGGCACGGATCCGCAGGTCGGGCATTGGCGAAGCGATCCTGGGAGACGTTGTCGATGAAGCCAAACGGTTGGGGCTCATGAGTCAGTTGCTGCCTGTGCACGATTACATACTCGCCCCTGAAGACGGCAGTAGCGAAATGATGAACGGCGCAGCGCAGTCTACCACGCCGTCGAAGAACAGAGACGCTGTTGCTAACCTTAGTTCGAAGCAATCGGACCTCAAGGCAGCAAGAGCACTCGGTCTTGCACTTGCAGCCACTGAGCTAGCAGAGGCAGGCATTATAGGCGTAGAGGCCCGACATGGCGAGCGAGTAGGCCGCGTGAGGCTTGGTGTTGGTGAAGATGAAGTGCGACTTGCACTAGGAGATGATGAGACCGTCCGTGGTTTAGGTTTCGGTGCGTGATGCATTCGTAACCCCTCATCGCATTTGTCCATGCCCCCACCGCAACGAATTCTAGAAGGCTGGTGTCCACGGCATAATTCATCAGCAACACGCAGTCGGCGTTCTTAATATCCAACATCTGTATACCCTTAGCGGCCATATAATATACCCTCAGGGCCTAACGCCCGATTCCGCCCTTCCAATTGTATCTTGGGACTGATGCGATGAAGCCAATGAACGTTGCAGCTGAAGTGCATTGCTCAATGAACTGTGCCACAGATCTACCGGTCAAACGTTACAGCTCCGGGCCGCCGACCGGGATCGTTCAACGAACCAGATCGTTGTATGGTATTTTAGCCGTCCCCAACCGTTCCAGGCCATGAGCCTGCGTTGCGCTGCCATGTCTCGCGAAGACGAAGAACATGTCATTCCCCACGGCACCCACGTCTTTCGCATACACCAACTCGAAGCGAACGCCATTGCAGCGTGGGCCTGGCCATTAATGCGGTGATTGCAAAGATGCTTTTTCACATATAGCCCAGCGCCTCATTAACTTTCGGTCTGTCTGCCCTCTTTCAGGGTGCAGTGTCGGACAACATCATGCATTGTGGCGTACATGAAGCAGGTTTCACAATCACGCCCACTCTGCGATCACGCCTGCGCTGTTGGGGGCTTGCTTTGGGACTGTCCTGTGTTGCCCGCATATGCGGCCTTTGTTTCCACTACCTGCTTGAATACGAGAACCTCGGGCTGTTTGGTTGGCTGTCAATGGTCGCGGATGGATGGAGGGCAACTTCCTCAACGCGACGCCAACGCTCCAGGCTGAACGGCGAGGGGCTTGTTTTACATGTTTGAGATTTCATGATCATCCGCATCGTATGCAATATCGTTCGAGGCGCTTGTTGGACCGCAGGGCGTTTTCTTTCGCAGCAAGGCAGCAAAAGTAGAGCGAGAAAGGTTGAGGGCGTGTATTGAAAGGAGGGAGGGTTAATTTGGACATGTTCGGCTTGCCTGCTCGCTTGCTCTGGACATGAGTTGGGGCTGGTTTAAGTAACTCTTGCTCGGAATATGTTCCATATTCTGCAAGTGGGCTCTATTTGCATATGAAGCGAGAGGCATACAGATGTACATCGCATCTTGCTTGTGTACCGTGGCAACCTTCATTGAAGTGAGTAATGTCTACTCCTCTTTTCTTCCCATGTAAAACTTGATCTTCCTCCATGATGTTTGATACTTCTAACTATGGTGGCCAGGAATTCTAATCATGCGTTGTGCTCAAATGTCAAATAACATTACACAATACTCCCACCAGGACATTTGTGTAGTATGTACATTGCTTAAAGTCACCTACGATGGCCACCCAGTGTAGCACGCTTCGAAGCCTGGATATGATGGAAAATAGTCTTGAGTGTTGACGGGTTTGATCAATCTTGCAGATCCTCCAAAAGTTCGTTACGTTTTCTTATATCCACTCGCTAGCCGATAATGTACAAAAGCTCTCATACCAGAGAGCTAAACCCGCCCAGGGACTCCGTTCAAATAACATCCATATGCATCTCAGAAGGCGTCCCCTCAAGCTCATCCCTCCTCTTTCCCAAACCAAACGCGCAGTTCAGGTCCACACCCACAACTCCAGCTGGCCATTCAATCAATGCCCAGTTTTCGCGACCCAACGCCATTGCTACCGCCGTCACGATATCGGCTCCCAAACCCTCCAACCACCATACGTTTCTCACTCGTCC